TGCTGGCTGTTCTACCATGACCGGCACCTGATAACGTCTACTTTGCTTCGTTATGTGGTGCTCAAATGCGGAGAGGTGCACGTTGTCTACAATAGTTGGTGAATAGCTTCCATTGATCCTTATGGCATCAAGACGCCACATCGCAGATACGTCTGTGTCTAGTGAAGAATTGCTGTTCAATATGAACAGTTCTCTACATGGGTACTGGATGTCCAACGATAAGGGTGCTTGTACTACCCATTCAAACGTTGTGTCGTTCGCTTTTAGCATCTCGTTGATGTGGTCAATCTTGCGGTGGTCACCTTTTAATAGGTGTGAGATGCTATCAGCACAGTGCTGTCACCTCCTTGCCACGTATTTGATTGGTATGCACAGCCACGTGGTACTCCTTTTCGAGGTGCTCTAGCAGTGGACTCGTTACGGAGCAGAGGTATACAATTGTCAAGGATTCTAACTCCACTTCAGCATCACTACATCGGCTGTGCAGCCGCAGGGAGACACGGTCGGCACAGAGTCGCTTCTGGGCTTTGAAGCTTCTGAATGTGATTATTGAAAGTTCTTCCCTTAGAATGGCAGACCCCTGAATAATTCTGGCCGCATCTGCGCGACTATAGCTACGCTGGCTAGCGCTCTCGAACAAAATCCGAACTAAGAGGCCTCGATTTCTGGACTTTTCGCAAATGCGAACCGTCTGCAATAGTACAGCCGTGCATTCTAAGTGCACGCTTTGGGCGGTTGTAATGGTTCGACGCTTTGGCGAAGGGGGTCTTCCCAATGCAACGGATTCCACAGCAGGCACTCGGTCCTGAACGCTGAGTCTGGAAAGGTCGCAAATAATGCTTAGGTGGCGACGACGGCCGGAGTCCCAAGTGAGACTGATGGCTTTTTTGCATGCCCTTACGATGTTATTGCGAGTAACACCTAAGAAACAAAAGTTGTTATTTCATAGCATCACTTGCATTTCGCCCGCTGACAGATTGGCAGTACAGGACATAATGCTGTGCTCATGGCTGTTGCAAAGTGGGCATATTTGATTGACCGATGCAGTGGAACCCATAAAAGCTGCAGCCGATGGAATGGATTCCGTGCCGTCTAGACTTTGTGTCGCAGTGCTGACTTAACCTTCGTAGGAGTGGCGACGGGGTCGCAGGCGACCTTCCTCCTGCACTTTTACTTGGAGGCAAAGAAATGTCAACAGGTCCTTCGCTCGGCGTAGCCTGTGTTCGGAAGTCTCGGTACCACTATTGACATGGTCATCATCTTTCGTCCTTTGGCGGTATATGATAGCCAGATCGTCTGGCAAGCAACGCATCATGACGCGATTCAGTATCATGATGTGTTCATCTGGGGACACGCCTATGCTTTCTAAAGCGCTCCCTCGGAACTGCGCAATGTTGTGAAGTGTGCGAAGTTTGGCAGCTTCTGATGAGCTCCTCACGGGAGTCAACGTCAAAAGATGATTCAAGTGGGTATTGATGAGGAGATCTCACCATCCGAACCGATCCGTGAGCGTTTCAATTGCAAGGTTGTAATTCTCCTCGGCTAACTGAATTCATTCGGTTGACCGTTTAGCGTTGCCAAATAAGTACGTAAGCAAATACTTGAATTTTTCTACTCGCGGCAGTTCGGGGTTGTGGTGTACAATGGCGTCGTAGTGATCCCGAAAGGCCCACGAGTCGCGCAGCTTGCCATCGAAGGTAGGTGTGATGTTTAGGACGATTCAAGCACTTGCCCTACTGTGCAGCGGCACAGAAAACAGACAGGGAGACGAGTTCAAACGTTTATATACAGAAGGAAGGCTATGAAAAGTCAGTGATGCGGACGCCGTTGGGACGACCACCATGGCACGTGAGGAAAAACAGTCCCGTAGACTCACGACTCTCGAGCAGCGGTGGCGGAGATGCCTGGACCAGCGCGACCTCGGACCTCGTTTCCGAGCTCTTGATCACCTCCCGGGCGTAGCGGTTCCACGTGCGGCTTCTGGTCAGCACAGCACCGTCTGTGCCGTGCTGAAACGCTGCTTGCCACATCTGCGGTGCGGCAGCTCAGTCACCGGCGTTCCCCGCCTTGGCCAGGGCACTGCCAGGTACCCTCGGGTGCACAGCTCGTGAGCTCGCGGCCCACGCCCAAGTCTAGCGCGTAGCTCGGTACAGCTCAGCACCACTCGGCGATCCTCGATTCAGCCAGCAACTCCCCTGGCACCTGGATCCTCGGCCACCCTGGACCTTGCACGGCTCCGTGGTCCTCCGTACACACGCCCGCGTCTCGCCCGGAAGAACGTCTCGCTCGTTCGCTGAGGGCCTGATCGGCGGTACGACAGACGCCGATGAGGTGCAGGGCAGTAGGCGGTGGAAAGGCGCTATGGAATGCGCTCACTTGTCGATGTGCGACGCTCTGGTGACACCGGCGCTTGATGGCATGGGTGCGACTACGGAGCAGTCAACCGCATCGGAGACGCAATGCTCCATGCGTGTAATGGGTCAGCCCGTCCAGCGAACAGCTTGCGTCGAGACGCGATGCTCGGCGCAACGGTGACTATTAGCCAGGCCACGTACGTCGCTGTGCCGAACGTCTGACCATGGAGACGCCTCTCCGAGATCCGCGATGCCCTCGGCAAGGAAGAGAACAGCAGGCCAGGCCGCGGCCCGAGATGCAGTGCTCGTGCCGGCAATGCCACCCCAGCTGATGGTTGGACGGCAGCAGCGTGTACAGCCGCGTTCCCAGGCCGGAACCTGAATTGCCTGCGTCCGACGCCTCGGCCCGCCGTCTCCCGTCTGCCGCTGCTCCAGCTCGTCCCCAGCCACAAATCTTACCGCCACGTAATGGTCATACGTGGCCCAATCGTGGCATCCAACCTCTATGGGCCATCACAGGTCATCAGCTGATTGGCTGACCTCACGCGCACAGATGATGATGATGATGATGATGATCCTTGACACTCTGGCGCACACCCACAAAGGGGGATCGGCCAAGAACCGGGCGGCAGGATCTTAACTAAAAGGCTAATGGTTTTTCAAAGAAAACGTAATTTTGGGCTAAAAAAATATAGAAAGGAAAGCCTAAAATCGAAAAAGGAGTATATCTGAGCAGGGAGCGATGCAGGCCATCAGATGCGATTTGAGACAGAGGTAATGGTGGGTCTATATATATATATATATATACATACACATACACATACATACACACACACACACACATATATATATATATATATATATATATATATACATACATACATACATATATATATATATATACACACACACACACACACATATACATACATATATAGGCAGATTAACATGGCAATCGCTTTGTTTCAATTATGTATTCAAATACCGCAGAGCAGACGTCCCTGTGGCTATAACCGAATTTAATGCTGCCAAACGACAAAATTACTGCCACATTTAATTCTAATCCCAATTTTTCAAGTGGAGCTACCAGGTATCTTTTCCGCTGATGAGAATACCGGCGACAGAACAAAAAGAAGTGATCTATCGTTTCCATTTTTTGGCAAGTCTGACATAAAGGTGACGCCTTTAGACCAACTTTATGCAAATAATAATTCAGTTGAGGAATTCTGCAACGCAATCTTGTAAAAGTAACTTCCAAGTGCCGTGTTGCACACCACTGTCTATTCCAGCGGCATCTTAGATGTGCGAAATCTCGATATTTATCCAATGAGTAGCAGTCGTATTCACGCAAACAGAGGTTTCTAAACCTTATTGCTGTCGCGTAAGCCGTATCAGGCAAAATCGGGATAATGGGACCGCTAAGAGATACTGTGGCTAGTGCATCCGCCATCTCATTGAGATATATGCCACGATGACCTGGTACCCATAAGAGCTGCAGTTTTTTCAAGTTTGTCGGTATGAGTTGTCGAAACATGTGCATAAGTGTTAAGTTGGCTCCTGAAGACAGAGCAGCACATACTGAAAAAGAATCTGTAATTACGACTGCTTCCGATTCGCCCAAAGGAAGTTTCCGTAGTGCCAGTACAATAGCAAATAATTCTGCCATGAATATTGGTGTGTAATCTGGGAGTCTAACCGAAAAGGACCAGTCAAGGGAACGTGAGAAGATACCTGCCCCAGCCTTTTCATTTGATACGGATGCATCGGTCGCAATTATGTTGTTCAAGTTCAAATGCGCCAAGTAATCCTGCAGCCGAACGCGCACAGTTGGCTCGAAATCACACGCGCCTTGCCCCACACTTCCGTCGTTGTCGTCGTTTTTCTAATATCCTCACAGTAGGTATCTGTCGTCTGCGCAGTACAACCGATCTGTGACGTGGCTCTTTCACATGGTCTGGAGCATTGACTGAACTCTGGAGGTCTGCGTTGCTCGATTCTGATCCGGAACCTCGAGCATGCATTGTAGTAGCTTGCTGACGGCCTTGCAACCAGTACTTCAAGTCTGCAATGGCGCAGCCGATTTTGTCGCTAAAATCCTGCGCCGTTTCGACTTCGCGGTCAACGTCATCTTCACGTGTTAGCGGAAGAATCGCGTCGTCCAATTTTGAAAATCCAAGCTCCTTGTCCTTGAGGTAGTCAAGGTGCGCGCGAACTTCCGAGAGGTCAGGACTCGTTTGCTGCATGCAGAAGATCCGTAAGCTGGGTTATGGCTCGCGTGACGCCAGCCCTGAGCGCACCACGCGTCTTTGCCATGGGGCAGTTCCGGGTTCCGGAAGCACGAAATAGTACGAAACGACTGGCTCCCAAACCATAAAAGAAAACGCGACTTTATTCTGTGGTCACCGCGAATTATCTGTCCTGCCGTCCCTCACGAGCTCTGTGTCCTCGGCTTTCTCCCTTCCCGGAGTCACACGTTCTAGTTGCTTCATTCCCATTCATTTTTCAACACATATATACAGATATATCTAAGACGTCTTCAAGAAAGAAATCTGTAAAGTCACTGCAAATGTCCCACGAATATTGAATTCATATTCATGAGAAATTTTAAAAGAACCTTGTCCAAATACATGGCTCTTTATATTCCAGAGAAGGGAGGGTTGAGTTTCTAGCAAGCACAGAAGATGGTCTGATCACTGTTGAGGCGAAGCCTATAGTAGGACGTATGTATTTTTTATATGATATCAATTATTGTGTAAGAAAGATTATAACTACCAACTCAATCACTTCCACTTCCCCAGCTGAGGATTAGTGTTTTCATTCAAATTATCATTTGGCCTTCACCACCTCGTTTGTCACTGTGTGTGTGCTCTAAACTTCACTTTATAAGGCGCCGTGATTCACAATTAGGTCAGTTACATTGTCACTTACATTCAACTTATCAAAACTCACAGGTGCAGTCTTTACGATATTCGCAACAAAAATAACCGAACTTATTTTAATTAGGCTTTGACATTTTGTGAAAAGTGCCCCATCAGTGAAAGAGCAAAAAATGTTGAGGTCAATAAGTAGGAACACCATTATGAAACAAAATTCGTAATGAGTTTGGCCTAGGTTTCTGGAGACTTGTACGAGACAAACATTGCTGGTAGGAATCGCTGATAACTCAGCGCAAAACCAGATACATAAAACTTAATATTTTAGTAACTTATCTGCTTACAAACAAGCGCTGACGCAATTCGCATTGTTCTCATTGTTTTTTTTCGAAGAGAACAGTCATGTGCACGAAAAACATATTGTACATCGACCAAAGTACACATGTAGCTACCACATCTGCTGTTGCTGCCGTCAGAGCATTTGGCAACCACACACGTCTCGTCAATGGAAACGCCGTGACCGTGCTTTGTACATCCGTAAATATTCAGAAGTCTATAGATAAACAAGACCTCTCTACTTGTCAAGTTGTAATATGAGCTAAATAATTGATACTTGCAGTAAAACAGCTTGAGTGACAATAGATTAGACGAGACGGAAGGCTCATACACATGTGTCTTTAAGCTATTGTTAGAAAAAATGATCGCGCTCGGTAATGTTTTCTGTATGTTCCACACAGTTCGTGAGTGTCGCAAACTGCCACACAAATGAATTGCCTTTCTAGACACTCTGCACATGGCTTTATAATTTTATTTACATTACAGTTGAACCTTTAGAAGGCAAATCAAGCGTAGTTATTCCTCCTTGCACAGTTTTAGAAGCAAGTGCAAATTGTGTGCTCCTGTCATATGGACAATCGGATAATGGTAAGTGCTTATCCCTGCTGAATATTTCAAGAAATATTTAGCGCTTAGGAAAATGCAGCGTTTCTTAACTGTTACTAGAATATATTTTGTTCTTTACTCTAGTAAAGCTTCTCGTGGGGCTAGTAGGTGCATGTTACAAAAAACAATTGAACGACACAAACCACCATTAAAAAAGTAGGCAAAATAGAAGTAACTCACACGGCTTTTCTTTTACCTATTTTTTTCAGTGGTTTGTGTCGTCTAGTTTTCTTGCAATATCTGTACCTACAATTGCACGATTCTGCATTTACGCTCATTTATGCCAACACACATGTACCCATCGCCTAAACCAAACTCTGTACATACGCAACCCCTTAAAAATGCAATATATTGGCCAGAAATACCAATATACATTCCGTCTCCGTATTTCTACAAGACTCATCCTAATGCTTTGTATTTGATATTGAATTTAGCCCTTCAGATAGGCAACGTAACATCCCTAAGAAAAAACCATGGCACATCACACAGTGTGAAGGCAGATGTTCCAAACGTGGAGTCAAATTACAGCACAAAACCCATCAGCCCTTTTCTGTGATCAACACTCCCCCCCCCCTCCTCCACAAAAAAAATGGCTTACCTTCGTCAAAGCCATGCAAGGCTGATCAACACCTTGTTGTTCCTTAATGACGCATGCTTTTATCCTCCCACGCCTGCTATTCGCACTCCTTCCTGTGCTATAACATGAATAGCTTCGCTTGCCCTCTGTTACAAGCTGTGCATCTTATGCTCGAGTTCCATCCGGTGTGCGACGTAACCATCCGTACTCCATATGCGCGTTCCCACTCCCTCTGTATTCTCGCCTACGCGCCCCCTTCGTCACCTCCCAACACTGACGCAGGCACAGTATACTGACCTACGCTCGCTTTCGATTGATGATTGATTGATATGTGGGGTTTAACGTCTCAATACCATCATATGATTATGAGAGATGCCGTAGTGGAGGGCTCCGGAAATTTTGACCACCTGGGGTTTTTAAACGTGCACCCAAATCTCAGCACATGGGCCTACAACATTTCCGCCTCCATCGGAAATAGAGCCGCCGCAGCCGGGATTTGATTCCACGACCTGCGGGCAGCAGCCGAGTGTACTTAGCGACCAGACCGCCGCGGCGGGGCCTACGATCGCTTTCTTCTTTCTCATTCAGGCATCATTTCCACAGGTGTTTACACTCTCCTCCCCCCCTTTAGCACTTGTACGTTTCCTCCCCGTCCATCCCCTCGCAATACCGACGCAGGCAGCTTCTGCATGCGAGTGCCTTTATTAACAAAATTGACTGCTCGCGCTGCAGAACCGCTCACCGGTCATCCCGTACATGTAGGCACCGACAATAATAAGTTGTATACGCACTCGATCTCTACCTCCAACATAGTGCCAGTGGGAGATTTCTCCTGTGCATCGTACCTTGCGTGTTAGCTAAAACCGAACTGCGTGTCTCTTTATCCAATAAATCGACTATCTCTCATTGCTCTTGAGCAGCGATTGTCATCTTCCAGTAGAAAACCCCTTTTCATCACTGCATGCTTTGCACCTCCCCAGGTTTCTTTCCTGCGCAACGCTGCTATGAGCACCAGCGCCAACGCCACCGCCAGTGTGAGCTTTAGCGCCCGCTTATTCGCGTCCACACATGATTCTCTTTAGCAGCAGACGGCGTAATTTCTTTTCCCTCCTTCTTTTCCCCCTATACTGTTATTGCATCCCGTGCTGCAGGGATTGGTGCAAGTGTTCAAAGAGCGAAACAAAGGAAAATGAAAATGTATAGGAGAGGATGTGCGTTTTCATGATGACGCTACGGTCGTGGTTTATGCTGGAGTCACGGTTTATTAATTCTTCAGCACTACACAAACCTCAAGGGTAACGTCTGCGCTAAAAAACGTTCTGCCAGACACAACAATAGCTGGTGGAGCGTCCTTTTTACAGCCTAGAGGAACACAATTGATGCTACTGGGGCAAACACAGTTGCAAGGTACACTCTTCGCTATAATGAATTATCATTGTAGGGAAGTTCAGAAGCACATATACGCATATTTGTACATTCTATGGAGCAACGAGGTACCTGCTGCATACTTCTTGAACTTACTTCATGCAGATGCTGCTAACAAAAAATACAGTTGAGCTTTTTTAAGGGCGAGGAAGCTTTAAACAGGCTATTTGATACGCAGGTAGTATTTTGTCACTCCTCGTCTCTATTTTACACTTCTACTTTACGAAACGGCATTTGTTGACCTGAGGTGCTGTACAAAGGTACAACGGCACAGAGCCTTTGCGAATGAGGGGCTTTTTCAACGTCTTGTGTAACCAATTTTCCGATCACTGCTGCTTTAGCCGCATGGTACAAATCGTCATAATCTTGCGAAAACTACGCTAACAAAGTCGGCCTTTCTTTTTGTGTTATCACAGGTTTTGTTGTACAACAATAGAAACCCCACCCATATTGGTAGATAAAAGCAAGCGAAAGTTGTCTCGTTTAAAGCAACTACTTACTGCACCTTTATTCATTATCCTATGAGGAAGTGATGTACGTTTGACTATAGTTTGACAGAAGTGGAGTTCACCGCGACTTATCAAAAAGGTATATTTTAAACTTTTCGTTCACTCCCACCGCATCCGTGAAGGTAACCTAAACTTATAATGGTGACTTCGGGCAATTTTAACCATAGGTGATGGAGTTATGACTAAGATGGTTCTAAGCACGATGGTGCCTTAACGCGTTCTAAGGACCTACCTCTACTTATCACGGAAATTTCCTCGGACTTGAGCAGGCTTCCTCTGTTAAGGTAGCCTATGAGCTACCTTAAGGCTTTTTTAAACCACATGGTGGGGGACTTTTTGTGCAGTTAGTTGATTATGTGAACCGCAAGGAAGCAACCATGCGCAGCACAGGCTACGCATAAATGTAACCACCGAGGCGATTCCTCAATGATCGACAGAACCCGGTGGAGACCTACGACAAGCTGGAATTTTTGTTCCTCCCCGGCTTCAAAAAAGTGCCGTGAAAAATATCATCACGGCGCTGTTTCCGCAGCTGTTAATCGCATCGCGCTTTTATATAGCTGGCACGACTCAAGTTGGGAGCGACCTTGACAATACCTTGCAGCCGACCGTGTCACGAGTAAAAACCCCAGCGGATATCTGCTAATATAGAAAAAAGAAATGTTTTCGTGTACCAGCAAATCTTCCCGAAGGGGAGTAAATATTTTTTAGTTGTTTGGTCGACCGAAGAATGATGCAGTTTGTCGGCTGTTGAACTATATTGCGAGCTGTTTTCATGATCATTGTTTTCTCTGAAGACACATGGCGTTTGTCGTGGTGATAGTTGACGAAATTCGTGAAGACGTGACCCCTGCGTCGGTGAATTGACTTCAATGCACAGTTCCAGAAGGAATTGGACTTCGTACAAAAACAATGCTGCAAGGCTGCTCAGAATATTTAAAGAGTCTTGTGAAATATAAGCAAGTGAAAAAAAACTGTACATGCTGAAGTGAGCATATTAATAAAACAGCGAGAACATACAACAATAGCATAAAAACAGCAAAAACATACAAGATGTCGAAATAACAAAAGTGACATGGCAACCCACTGGCATCGACGAGGGTTGAAGAAAAGTGATCAGACGAAAAACGTGTACTTCAGCGAAAACTGCCGGCGCCTCAACAAGCATTTCGACTTTTTACGTTTGGCTACTGTTGTGCGTACTGTTCTTCGTTTATTGCAGTAATGGAAATTATTTTTCTTCGAGATAATGCCAGCAAAGTCTACCTACCCTCATACTTGACATACTTGCCCATACTTGACAAGTTAAGGACGCCTTTCATAAGGAGGCCTTATGACAATATAAGGCAGGTTTTTTAAAGGCATCTTGCATTTTTTAATACTTTTCTCTTTCTTTCGTGCGAAGCATTTTCGCGAATATATAAAGTTGGTTCAAGAATACGTCATTCAAAGGCTGAATTTAACTCTATTTTTTTCGGAATAATATCTCACTTGAACTTATACAGTTTGTTTTTTTGACTGGACTCACTGGTACTGCAACACAGAAGGTATAGTCAGTTTTTTTATTTACGCTTTCAGTGCTCCTGAACACCAATATGTTACATAAGTGGTAGTCTACGTCGAGCAATATTACACCATGCTTTCAAACACAATTTGTGATTACTTGATATCTAGTGAGCAATTTTTTTACTAAAATTGTAATTGACCAGCAACAATTTTATCAGAAACTTCCTTGGAAGTGTTAAATCATCTGGTATATTCCCGATTATCTAACAAATCTGTAAAAACATTCTGTGCATTTTATGTAGAAGAAAGGAAGCCTTCTTAATAGAAATATAAAAGACGGGAAGACTTTATTGTTCAGAGCACCGTTGCATGAACAACAATCATATGGTGGTTTTGGGACGTTAAACCCCACAAATCAATCAACCGTTGCATGAACGCAATCATTGCCGGCTGTTTCAGATCAGTCCAGACTTTTGACGCACGTTCTACGCGCTAGTCACATCGCCATCTTTTTTTTCTAATATTCAACGCACTCCGGGCCTGAGGTGGCAAGTTCTATCAGGGGAATGTTTTTCTACAGGCATGAGTAGCTGAGAGCCATTGGGTATTCTACTTTGCATGAGCGAGCTATGCTATCTTTAAAAATGGACACCTGACAATGAAAAACTATAATTCACACACGTTCTAAGCAATATGTTTGTTTATAAGTTCTTGTACCTAATTCAGGCTAATCAGTGTGGGGCAATTCAGGTTTGCTCCTGCACCAGCTCTTCCATCGGTGCTTCCGACACTTGTGCCTCGCTCGTGCTACTGAACACGTCGCCTTCGGTCTAGTTGTGCTTCTGATGATCGGTTTACGCTGCAACAAACAGCCGTTATGCCAACTCTTGCAGCCCCTTCTGAAGATTGTTCATGAATTTCGCGTCTTCGCTTCATTCACTGTATACGCTCTAGCCTTCTCGCTC